GAGGATGGAAAATTAAAATCTTTTCCATTGCCCCTTCTGCTCTTTGCAGCATAGGATTGTGCTCTAATTATCTTTAACTGACTAAAAAGTTGATGAAAGCTGGAAAATTGCACATGAAATAGGTTTGAAGAAAAGGCCTCCCCCCCCCTAATAATAGTCTATAAAAATGGCATGGAAGGTGCCATCTAAACAGATTGTCTAGTATCCAGACTTGTGGTGTGATCCTGCTTTACGCACTTTATCTCCGTTATGTAGCCTACCCACCTGCATTGTTACCCCAGCTGTTTTTCAAAGCCAGCTGACAGCAACAAATGCTAGAGGGTGTCAATCCAATGGTTCTCTTTGATTGATATAAAAGGTGGCTTCAGCAGGTGCACAGTGCTGGTGTCCAATGTAACTTTTATCAACATTCATTCTGTTTTCCCGTTAGCTTCTAGTTTCCAGTTAGAGTTCAAAAAATTGATGAATGTATGTAATCAAACTGCATCTAGGTAACTATAAAGCACTGCTAATTATGATTTATTGCTAGCTGCCTTGAATTCAAGAGATAGGCATACAAATGAAGCTGATTTTAAAAGAAAAGCTTCATACTGTTTTTAAAAACGTCTCTCATGTTATCGAGGTTTTCCGTATGTTCCTTGCTGATGACTATGGGATCCTAGAAGCTTCACCATTATCCATGTCTCTCTGTCACAATCACTGTTTTGTTTTGTTTTGTTTTTAATCTGCTCTATATAATCCATTGTTCTGTCAGAATTAACTGCTTGCCTTCCAGCTATTTCAGTTATAATCCTTACATAAGCCTGTGCATAACTTCAGCTGAAAGCTGGACTTACTTGTGAGTAGAGAGCCATTGGTTCAAGTTGTAAGGTTAGATGATCTAGTGATGTTGATTATAAATATATAGAAAGGATTCAATTCAGAATCTGAATACTGAGAGAGGAAGGCTCTTTGCTCATGGAAGGTCCCTCTTCCCAGTTTTTGAGGACTCACTGCCACACAAACACACACGCCACAGCTCCTTCCATTTGGATGGTCTCCTAACTCTTTGTGTAGCATTTTCCAGGAACTGGATAGCCATAGGAAGAAGGGGACAGGAAGTCCGATTCCATTAATGCAGTTGTTCCAGCATAAATCCAGATTCAGCCCAATAGCTTCTCATTAGACCCTATAAGGAAATTAGTTTCTGAGTGAGTGAGTGTGTTCCATGCAATAGCTATATTAAGGGAGTGTGTACAATTAAACAGAGTTTCAGCCATTCGTCTGCCGCAGTCACCTGCACCTTATCTGAAAACGGATATAGTCAACCTATCTCAGATTGTCATGCTGCATGTATGGCACAAGTAGAAACAGCACAAAGCAGTGCAGGGCAGGGGGGATTGGCAAGGTCTTCAGGATGCCCTTTATGAGATCCAGTGTACAAGACTAAATATCACAAGGGAACCTACAGCTCTGCTGCCTGCCCTGCTTCCTGTGAGTCACAGAGTAAGGCTGGAAGATGAGCATGTGCGCAGTATGTCTTGGAGGAGGAGAACAAGCTGTGGCTCCGGGTGGAATCGCTCGTGACATTTCCATGCATGGAAAGGAGTGAGGGGGAGGGCAGATGAGCAAATAGTAATGACGTGACAAGCACCAGGCTAACGGTAATCAGTCTTGAACTGTGACGATGTTCCATCCCGCTGCCATGAAAATGATCAGAATTTCATTCTGTGTTCCCAGAATTCTGGGCTTCTTCAAGAAGATCAACAATGGCAGACAAGTTTTCAAAGCAAGAGGGAAGGGGTTAAACTCCCCCTCCTCACGCCCTACGTTCCCAATCAAAATTGGACCTCCCCAGGTCTGCTCTTTCCATTTTCTTTAAACGGATGAGGTTCCTAATGGTACATTTAGCTTTCTTCTGAGGACAAGTTGCTCCCTGATACCCATCTTTGCCTGCCACATGCTGCCGCAGCAGATTATTCTGTTGGGGGCTGGTACACAGTTCATGCTGGTTGATGGATTGGTACCGCCAGCTGGTTTGGTGCTCTGCGTGGGCCTTGCGTGTGCTGGAGAAATCTCAGCAACGTGTTGGCATTCTGTGACAGGTGTGCCGGCATGCTTTAGCTGACAGGTCAGTCAGGAACGAGCTGAATGCAGTACGTTTCAAACTGCTTAAGTGGAGAGCTCGGAATTTAGATTGGACTTTAGAGAATGTCTTGCATCACCATGGTACCGGGTTTTAAGCCACAGATTTTTCATTATAAGGAACGTTTTGACTCTGTTCTTCCAAGTCACTTAATTGCTGTAATAATTACATTCTGTACTGTAGGCGGATGTGGAAAGCCTGGAGGGAGCCCAAACAATCAGTACAGACAATGCATGGCGCATGTATTCACGCTGCACTCATGGCTTTCGAAACTGTTATTCTAACAGTGCCCTGTAAGCCAGACAGAAGAGTACCTGAGTGGGGATTCTGTGGTCCGTATTTGAGCTGTTCCTAGTTGGAGCTGACAATCGGAAAAAAGAGTCTCTCTATAAAAGAAAACCTAGCAGGAGATTGTTGTTTGCCGAGCACTACATAAAGGCTTTTAACATACTATTTCCCAGCTTGGCTTTCAAGGACAAATTCTGCATTAAGAAATAGCAACAACAACACAGGTTGATAAATGAGCATTGAATATTCATGGAACAAGCGCCATTAGCAAAGCTGGCTTTTAAGGCAAAGGTAAGCACTGGATGAGGGACCGACCTCGCCATGAGGCAGGGTAAAGAATTCCGCTCAGGCAGCAGATGCTGTGGGGAAGGGAAGGGCAAAAGGTTTGGGAGGTGGAAAACTTTTGCTCTCCTATTGAGAGCAATAAGGAGGATACAAACCCAAGTGCATCAGTGTCATAGAGACCCTAGGCCAGCGGTGGCGAGCCTATGGCACGCATGCTACAGTGGGCACACAGAGCTCTCTCTGTTGGCACATGAGCCAAGTTGCCCCAGCATCGCCCCAGCAGCTGAGCATCGGATAACAGCGCACACAGGGGCCGTGCGCATGCTCGGAAAGGTGTAGTGGTGCCAGGTGATGATGTCACGAGCCGTGACTCATTAGCCGCAAATCATCCTTGCTTTCGCATGGCCAGTCAGTGTGCTGCCAAGGAAAGAGAGAGAGAGATTTGCTTGGACTGGCTGGGAGTTGTTTTTTGTAAACTAAAACCTCAGTATTCAGGTTTTATTGAAGTGTTGGCACTTTGCGATAAATAAGTGGGTTTTGGGTTGCAGTTTGGGCACTCGGTCTCTAAATGGTTCGGCTTCACTGCCCTAGGCCATCATCAGCTCCCACAAGGTACAGCGGGGTTGGGTAGACACATAAGGTCTACCTTGGTTTTAGACTAGAATGCTGGAATCCCTCAACCAGCTCCAGATGCAAAATAACCACATGAGAACAAATATACAACAAAGGGCCTCTTCTGCACACATGTTCAGCCCGGGAATTGTTTTCATTGCCAGAAATGCAGCTTGCCCGGATATCCTTTCACCTGCAGATCTACTCCAATTTCCCTCAAAACTTGCTTAATTTTAGCAGTATGATTTAGGAGGAAAATAAGATGACTTGTCTCTGTTAAAAGGTTGGGAGTCGGAAACTCTTCTGCAGTCAGATCAACTGCAAATCTGTTGGAGAACTGCTAGAATGTCCTGATCTGCCTTCTGCCTGTTCTTGGAGTGTGGCAGTAATGAAGACAGAAGAAGAGATGTGGGGTGGGGGAATGATCCATGGCCTGAAATGCTTAATGGCCCACCTAATTAGGCACAAGAACCTGCAGGTAGAAAGGCAGTGGGCTTAGGGCCTCATTCTCACCGAGCTGGTAAGCCTTCGTCAGGGCTGTAGAATGTCAGGCTTTATATTGGGGCTGATCTGTTAAAAAGGACATATATCTGCACATAGAAACCTAGCTATCAGGGTCTGGCAAAGTCTGGCCTTGCCCCTGATCTGCATGTTTTCTATATCCCAGGGACTTTTTGGGCATTTATTTATCCAGTGCGTTTCTCAAGCTACCTCTGAAGTCTTTCCAAGACAGCTTGCAATATAAAAACATGCAGTTCCAGGCCCCCAGAGAAAAGATGTCTTATTGCTTGCTATATATAATATATATTGTGTACCCTTAACTGGAAGTGAAATTTATATTAATAAATAAATTCCATTTTTAAAAGCTAGTTCTAAATGCTATGCTGGTATAGATTTGTATTTAACATATTCATAAAGTCATATATTTTCAAGTCAAGTTAAAATGAACTGGTAATAAAGCAGTGTGTGCAATATAGACCTTGCCGTTAAAAGCCAAAGAAAACAAATACATTTCAGTGCCCTCTTAAAGCAGCCAGATGAAGTCAGATGAAACTCCCTCTTGGGAGGGGGATCTGTGGGACGGGGCCACCACAGAGAAGGCCGTGTCTACTGCCCATCAGCCCACAAATCCGAATGATGAGCCAGCAGTAAGGCTCCTAATGACTTTCTCCAGAGGCACATTCCTTGATCTGTGCTTCCACAGCTAGTCTAAGTGGTGCAGCCCAGCTATTGGTTTACCACCTCAAAAACTATTTGAAGGTAAGATCTCAATTTTATTGTTTAATTCATGCAAAAATAGGAAGGAGTATTCCATTTCCACTGAATGAGGCATTCACATTTCAGGAACACTTGTCACTTGTCCACTTATTTTGTAAGGTCAGAGGAGCATCGGGGCAGAGGAAACCTTTCATCTTGGTTTATGTGTTATAACTGTCTAGCACAGTTATATGCATGCTTTTCTTGAAAACTTAAATAACTATGGGGAATAATTTTTTACCTATATGTGCAAGAATTGAGTGCAAGAAACCTAGGGAATCCCATCCAGATCTTTTAATGAAATTCGTCAGCCTTACGAACTACCAAAGTGGAAGCCAACTCTGTGTGAATAGTATGTAAACTGATTTTTGTTTCCTCCATGCCAGGACGCTCTGTGGTCTGTGAGAACAGACTGAAAATAGAAACGTGACAGATGCCTGTGCCGCCACCTCCGCCTCTCCCACCATCTTTTTCTGGAGGTCCACCACCTCCCCCTCCTCTCCCACCATCTTTTTCTGGAGGTCCACCACCTGCTCCTCCTCTTCCACCATCTTCTTCTGGCGTTCCACCACCTCCTCCTCCTCCTCTTCCACCTCCTCCTTCTGGAGGTCCCCCTCCACCACCACCACCTCTCCCTACTTCTCTCCAGTCATCTTCTGGATGTCCACCCCCACCACCATCTTCATCTCCTCCGGTAAGGCTTGCATTTCATTTTGGTAAGATTATGAATAGTAATGTTTACTGTTATAACCAGAAGCTATTGTAAGCTACAAAATCCTGCATTTAGAATGTTTCATCAGTAGCTGTCTTTTAAATGAAAGTTTTCAATCAGAAAACTGTTCACTCTTGAATATTTGAAGTCAATTTTTATATGGAAAATTTATTTTCTCTCATCCACTTGCAATGCATTTTAATCTTTCATCATTTTGTCTAATGTTTTCTGTAGTACCAGATTTGACTGAGGGCCGACAGCAGTTTACTATTAATATTAGACATCTTGTGTTTCATTTGTATGTCTTCAAAATACACTGTGTCTGCTTGTAGTGATGCAATGATTTTCACATGTCAATAATTCTCACAGAAAAGAAACAACAGAGAATATTTGCTATTTTTCTGTTTTGGCCATTTGGACCAGTGTGTAGAAAATGGCATGATCCAGATGCAGAAGTGCTACCCAAAATTCAGTTATTGTGTAGTGATGGCCACACCATGGAATGACTTAAACTTAGATCCTATACATATTTCAGCAGAACAGATGCTTCAGCTCCCGGAATGTACCTGCCAACAATTGAAATGAGTCCCATATCTGAATCAGGCAGCCATCCAGAGAGTGGGTACTTGCTTCTTTACCTCTGCTGGTGCAACAAAGTCCATTTGCTATGGTAGTAGCGGTGACTGAGTTATCCATGCTGTTCCCATGAAGCTAACAGCAGTAGAATTCTGCTTTTGGTGCCATCAACTTGTAAAGTGTGACTGTGAAGACGGAGAAACTCAGGAAGGTGCCTGCTATTAAGTCAGACCACTTAATAGTGTCTCTGAATCAGTACTGTCTAGGGCAGAGGTGGAAAACTTGTGTCCCTCCAGAGGTTTTGACCTACAGTTCCCATCATCCCCAAACATTGGCTGTGCTGCCTACAGCAGAACATCTGGGAGGCCTCACATGGCTCACTGGATGCTAACTTTCAGCAGCTCTCCAGAACTTCTGCCAGGAATCTTTCCCCAAATACCTGAGGTGCTGGGATTGACCCTGGAACCTTTTGCAGGTAATGCATGTGCTCTAACACTGATCTTCCCCATAACATAACTTTGTACAATAGATTGTTTTTTCTGCAAAGAGAATTTCTAGCCCTTGGCATCTGTACTTGTGCCACCTAAAATTGTCTTGCTGTTGCTGCAACAGCTGCTACATTTGTGTGAGAATAGAAACCAGATTCAAAGATGCAAATTGAGTTGGTCTGTATCTTCTATCCCACAAATTATAGTAGTGTTCATAGTCCAAAATAACTTGTAAATTTTCTGCTCTGCTTTTGCTAGGAAAAACTCTGCTGGTGCCTCTTTCTCTTAGCAGGAGTAGATCTGTCAGAGCTTCTGAACACTATTCCAGAAAGATATGTTCAGAAAGATCCCTTTGAAAAGTTAAGACAACTTGGTTAGGAACTTTATTTATTTATTTATTATTTTACAAAGTTTTATTTAGAACTTCATATTAGAGTTTTTAGGGCTTCTCTACACAAGGCATTTATAGTGAGCTAGTTGCCCTTTACAGGTCCTTTCCATGATGCTGGCACCATCCAGAGCCTTTCCTGTATTTTCTAGCCATTTTCATGGCTGTCTTTTTTTTTTAAGAGCAAGGAAAGTCAGCTATTTTTCTAGATGCTGCCATTATTCACTGCAGAAACGAAGAGTAATTTCACCCTCCTGCTCTATACCACAGCGCCACCTTGTGTCCTTTAATGGAACCATAGGAATATAGAAAGGCAGAGGGAAAAAAACCTTGTGGAAACAGCGCTCTGATCCTTCCGCAAAGAAAGCGGAAGAAGCAACCTCAATAAAGTGCCAGATTTATGCAGTGAATCCCTTAATGCCTGTGATAAGACCATAGCAAAAGGTTATGAAAGGGGACAACACATATCCTAGGCTGTGTTGCACACCAGTTTCTGCTCTGCTCTGCTACTGATAAGACGATGCAGTTGGGTGGCTAACGCTTGCCTTAATATAGTGTTCTTACAGAGGCTCACTGGGTAAAATCCAGTGTAAATCCTACTCAGAGTAAACCCACTGAAATGACTGCAACTGAATCAAACTCTAAGTTGGCCTCATGTTGGATTATGTTCTCTGTTCTGGATCACTTATTCACAGTTGTGAGAGCCTATCTCAAACTTCAGTGTTTCTAGGAGGTATTTCAGGAAAAACTACCAGCTGGATAGTCTATTATAAGGGACTTAAAACAGAGGAAGAGACTCTTAATAAGGGGGTAATTTTTATTTGGTGACTGTACAGCACAAGCATCAAAAATATATTGCAGTGTCTCTAAATTGGATTTAGTGCATTAGGACCAGGTAGAATAGCAAGTTAGGTCTGAGTTTAAAAAGCTGTTTCGGCCAAAATGGTCATCGGGTGATTTTGAGGCATTTATTATCCCTTGGCCTGGTCTAGCTCAAAGTGTTGTTAAGATAATTAAAATGTGATGGGAAAGGACCATGTCTGCCACCATGAGTTTCTTAGGAAAAAGATGAGGCATAAATTTAAAAAATGCAGTATAAATAGCATAAATAAATCTCTTAAGGCTTTCAAATTGATCTAAAAAGTCATTGACAATGCTGTCTAGTGATATTTTAGACTGTTCAGCAACACTGTGTATTCTAACCCACTGTAATTTGTCTGGAAAATTCCTGTGAGCCATTGTATGCTTAGAGTAGGTGTTCTGCTATTCTGTCTGATAACCACTGCAATGAGAAATCATGCTCTCGAAGCCATTCTGCAGGCAGAGAGTAGTAACAACTCAAATAATTGCAGAGCTGTTTATGAATCTACTTCTGTATTTTTTCAGACTTTGGAAGATGCTGTCTTGCTTTGACAAGCCCACCATAATGAATGCTTTTAGATAATATCTGCTGCTGGCAATTTTGTTTGAGAGCATCCCCTTCTAAGGAGCAAAACGCAAATAAGCATGAGATGCTAAGTGGAAAATGCAAGCAAGGTTGAGGGGAAACTCAGCGTTTTTCTCTGCAAACAGTGTGTGAATGTCAGGCCTTGGCCAGAGTTGGGGGTCGAGGCAGCTGAATTCTGGGTCCCAGGCAGTGGCAGTGCGGGTCTTAGTTGTCAGACCAAGTGCTCAAGATGCAGAGGTTGGTTTAAAACAGGCAGGACTAAGCACCAGGTCAGCAATGGAAGGTAAAGAGGGGCAGAAACTGGTACAGAGTTCAAATAGGTACAAAACCAGGTAGTGGTGAGGAGCCAGGGCAGTACCAGGGTCACAATATGTGCTACCTTATATGTGTGTTTTTTTTTTTTTTTTGTGGGGCGGGGGGCGTTGCAGCAGGATACAGGCAGAGCAGAAGATAACAGAACCTGATTTCTGGGGTGCCATAAGTAGAGCTTTCCCTGGTATCCCCAACTTTTTTTGGTCAGTGGGTACATTTGGAATTTTGAGAGAGTGTTGTTGGTGCTGGCACAAAAAAGCTGCTATGGGCAGGACCAGCCTGCCCTCTTCTAAAACGACTGCAGGTATGGCTGATCACAAGCACACCTTTGCCAGAAAGAACGCTGGCAAGCTTCAGAGAGAATTGCCCAAGAACCTAATACAAGGCAGAAGAGGCTTCTGAGCTCCCAAACACCAGGATGGAGGGCAGACCTTCCGTTTGCAGCCTGTCACTTAATGAACATATTTTTTAAATTAAAAATAAATTTAAAAATAAAATAAAATTGGAAGAGTCTTACTGACACCAAAAGTGGTTCTGTGGACATGCTGGTGCCCACAAGGACCATGTTGGAGGCTCCCGCCTTATCATGTGTATCTAACACTAGAGTTTCCAAAGTGTGTTTCTCCTAAATTAAGTATTAAACAGGACTGAAAGTTGAGAGATCACAGCACCCCAATATTCCTATGTGGCAAAAGCCAGACACCTGGAAACCCCCTGTGCCATCTGTTTCTTGTCCTGGTTCTATCTAAAAAAAAAAAATTGAATGAAAGCTGAATGCTGTCTGTGTTTGGAGAGGCTTCAACCTATCCCTCCTGCTGCCCATGTTATTTCAATTAAATGTTTTCCAAAAGAAGGTTTGCATCACCAAAAGAGGGAGGCAAGACGATACGGATCTGCAAAAAATGTGCCTATGCTAATACATAGATTTAGAAATATTATGATTTGGATTGAAATACAATGCATCTCCCCAGAGTGTGGGAGACTGACCAGGTGAGCTGAGCAGCTTGCTCAGCCTACCATCCAGGTGTTGTCGAAGGCCCGGCTTTTCTTTCAGAGTGCTCCTTATCTTTATACCAGATTTGGCCTGGGCAGGCTTTTGGCTAGAGGACACTTTTCAAATACGGTACAGTCCTCTTTCTGTACACTAAGAAGTAAATAACGAGTTGGCTTGGTAAAGAAAGCTTGAAAGTGTAGAATTGCTGCCTCCAGAACTGTTCATCATAAATTGGTGACTCGTGCTGGATGTGTCACTGTGGATCATGCAGTGCTGGTTTCTTACAATCTGCTATTTTTCTCGCTCACACTCTCTCTGGTTTGCAGTGTGGATCAGAGGTGCTTAAATTAGCCCTCGTAATTATATTTTGCTGTGCTGGATCAGACAGTGGCTAATGCAGCAGTAGCACCAGGAGCTTGCATGGGTGGAGAACAGAAGCAAGTTCAACTATTGACACGGCTGGCCTGCCTACACCATGCAGAACATGACCTTTAAAAACTAGTGCAGAATTAGAGTGTATTACTATATTTATGAAGCCTGCAGCCAGCCATTTATATGCTGCATAAGGATGATCTGTGAAATGGCTGCTTTGTTCATTTACAAAGACATGTTTGCTTCTATAGCATGCACTGTTTTGGCACACATACCAGAATCTGTAGACCAGGGGTAGGTAACTGGGTGCCCCTTCAGATGTTTTAGACCACAACTTCCAGATGCCATAGCCAGAGTGGGCAAGAATGAAGGGGCTTTTTGTCCAAAACATCTGGAAGATAACAG